ACTATTTGTGTTATGTGTACGTTATGCAGGTTGATGTTTGTGTGCTGTCACAAACAGAAGGCAGCAGAGGTGATTTTCAACTAAAGCAGAAGTGCGTGCGCTGGTCCTAGCCTGACTGAACACAGTGAAGCTCAACTCAACCTCCTGTCTGTTAAAAACACCCAGTATATTTGTCAGCAACACTTTTGCATTTAACGTGCTTTGATGATCCTGCGATCATAACAAACTGTTTTACATGTGTAGTACACCTGTGAGTGATCAGCTGTGCGTGGTGCACTGAGGCTACAGAATGGCCAAAACCTTTGGCACACACCCTGGAGCCACAGTCACAGCTGTTGTGTTCATTGTGGCAGTAGGACCAGCGCACGCACTTCTGCTTTAAATCACCTCTGCTGCCTTCCGTTTGTAACAGCACACAAACATCAACCTGCATAACATACACATAACACAAATAGTCCAGTGCAACTAGTGTACTCACTGTCAGCACCAATAAGGCAGTTTATGCATGATGCAATATGTGGGCATTTTGCAGGTCCATATAGAAAACAATGTCCTTAAAAACACCCAGTATATTTGTCAGCAACACTTTTGCATTTAACGTGCTTTGATGATCCTGCGATCATAACAAACTGTTTTACATGTGTAGTACACCTGTGAGTGATCAGCTGTGCGTGGTGCAGGACCCCCCCGTGGAGCCACAGTCACAGCTGTTGTGTTCATTGTGGCAGGTTAAGAACTGACATGGGCTACTGCACAGTGTATATACCTACTGCATAATACACTATAATATAATGTTCATTACAAATATATTGTCGAGTTGGTTTTGTTCCCCAGTAGTAAATCAGTAATGTATGGTTTTAAAAAATAAGTAGCTGAAGAGCAATAAAGCTGTTTTGTTGCATTATTTGACTGTGTTCATCTGCACTGGTCTGATGGTCTGCAAGATAATGGTCTGATTCAAATATATTGAGTACAAACACAAAAGGCAGCTTCAAACTGAAAATCATTTTAATCATCTGATGTATGGAGGAAATAGCACATTTTCTATACACAAGACTTATTTCCATGACATGTGGTGGTGTCAGGATGATGCATTCACAGATATATATTATCTCCAGAAATAATGTTGGAGTCTAGCCATTCAAAACTAAAATGGATGAGACAGCCTGATAATCTCTTCTTCTTTCAAGATATTTCATCAGCAACTTGTGACTCATAATAGTTTCTTATTTAAAACATTACTGCACATTTTGCATCTTTAATAAAGAAACCCTCTCAATAAATGAATAATTAATGACACAGACAATGGCAGGTATTTACCAGACTGTAAATTGTTAAAATGTGCCATTAAAATAATACATTTAAATAATAATTTGTAATGTAATAATTTCAGGGACAGTTGGTGTAAATGGAGTGTTGACTTGATGTACAGTAAGTTTCATAATCCTAATTTCTGTGGTAATGAAGAACGGGTTGCTGGTACAAACTGCCCACCCCATCCCCTGTACTTTCTACCAGGATCATTTTATTTAATGCTTCATCAGGCTTGTAGAAAGATTACAATAAAGCACAGACAACTGCGAGTGATGGCATGTGTGTAAAACAGAATTCACTTTAGAAAATATTCATTCATTGTAGTCATACAACAAAAGTGGAGTAGTACACACTAAATATAACTGCTAAAATATAATCGAAATAGTTGATAACCCACAATTAAGTGTGACAGAGGATGAATGGGCAATTGTATGGAAGCTCATTGTTCATATTACATGATGTTTAACCATTATTTGGTCCCAAAGAGAGATATCAGCCATACTATCATAAATGGTCAAGGGCCCATAACAAACAATACCATTTTTCTTTACCTAATCTAAAATACACGTAATGACTACATTATTCTCCAACCTTAACCTGGCATACCATGCATGTATGAGAAAGTCCCTCAGGTCTGACCAAAGCATCCTTTAATCTTATCCTCACCCAAGCAAGGAGTAAATATAATATCTGCCTGCATTTGCTCAGGTGATTCAATGGCTGACCCAACTGGCTTGGTAGTGGTCACAGCTGAGTGCCAGACCCACTCAATTAAAATAAAAACAAAACAAAATAAACAGAAATAAAGCTTCACTGAAGCTGCTTATAAACACGTTATATAGCATATCACAATGTTCATTTTAATGCTATTAAGCTGAAATAGTAGTATTGTAACTATTGCTATGCCTTTTCCTACTAGGTGCATAACTGTAACTGTAGATTTTTAGGTGTAACGTTCTAATAGAGCTATCACAGGTAGATGTGCCAGTGCAGGTAAAAGCTTTCCCCGCAATTTATTTGTCAAATCCTCCACATGTAACAAATACAATATATACATTCTTGTTTATTTCTCTTGTTCATCCATGTTGTAAGCCCTAATGCAGAGCTAGCATGCCATTAAGATAAAGATGGGTTTTACTTTCCCCGAGTAACACTTTTTTCTTTGTCTTCATTATGTATCCTTGGAAGTGTTTCCAAACACTTGTAAGTATGTTTTCATGCTTGTGCTTGTGTACTGCGTGCATGGCGGTAAGAGCCACACGGCTTCTCAAAAGCAGAGCATGTGGCCTGCTTCGGGGGAGTTCAAGCAGGCTGCATTTCAGCCTCAGGAAATGATGAGGTGAAAAATATTTTATTAATGTACTATTAAAAATGTATTCATGTACATTACTTTCTCTGATAACTTTTATCTACTTTCCTGAAAAGCCTGGATTCATATCCTCTAAGATGACATATTAGTGGTTTGATACCCTAAACATCTTTTATCCGAGCATGACTGAAGTTGGACCAGAGTTCACAGGACACTTCTGAGAGATGTTAGAATTTAATGACGCCACTGAAATATTCTTACACTTGAACTGTTTTTACAGTGTTGGCTATTTTAAAATGTTTAAAAATACTGCTTTGTAGGCAGAGATATGCTGTACTTTATATACAGTATGTATACAGTGAAGTGACCATGGGTGTTAGAAATGAGCCTGAGTCTATCAGAGATTTCAAACACTCAGATGGAGACAAATAAATAAATAAAAGTATTTATTTAGACAAAAATCTAAATAACTCACACAGTAAATGCAGACATAAAAAGGAAACAGAGTGCACAATGTATTTTATTGTTTCTTTGTTTGATTTGTTTTCATCCAGACATTATAAATCTTCCACACCAAACCGACCTAAGACAACCCAAATAAAATTTCAGCACACTACACACGTTTTATTCTTCTTATATACAGCAGAATGTTTGGAATATAACAAGTTTACACTACATATTTTCCTATGGGCTGTAAACCCAGCCACTGGCACATGATGCTTTAGCAAAGCTCTTTAAATCTCTGCCTAATTCCAACAGTCCTGGAAAAAAGCAATTACACATTTCTATGCATTATAAGAACACACTGGGGACTTGCTGGTTTGATTGGGTTTTAACACAGGCGTCACTCTTCCTCACCTGTTTTCTGACATATGTTCTTCTCTTAGTCCAAACTGGCTGGGAATGTTCACACATATGAGAGAAGAGAAGGAAAGATGTCACACTCACCTCCTCAAAATAACCTTCCTTCTCCTCTTTCAGTTGCAGGGACACAACTGCACCAACCCACACATATTTCCCTGGTTCTGATGTTTCCAGCCTGAGGGCTTTGACTCCTCTTCGGGGCTCTTATCACGCCCAGGTAGAGCATTAAAGATGATTGGATTGCATCTCTGAAAACCACACCTCTGTAGATCAAAAGGCTGCCTACACGTCTGCTATAATGTGGCCAGCAAGAAGGTTTTAACCTGATTAAAGTGTTTCTGAACAACAAATCTTCATCCTCCACTATCCTTACTTTCATTCCAAAAAGCAAAAAAACAGAAATATAGTGTCCTTAACTAAGCCAGTGTTGTGATCTGTTCACATTTTGATTGATTGCTCTTCTTTAAAGGTGTCACTGACAAATGCCTGCAGTCTGATCCCTCAGTGTGTTAAGAGAATTTTAATGGCCCCTATGAGGTCAGTACATAAACCTCAGTGACACTCTGGCTTCTGTTCCTACACACTTCTTCAAGCAGAAACTAATTTGGTCTCCTTTCCCATTTACATTCTATTATTCACATTTTAAAATAGTGAATTAATGAGTTTTACTTCTTGATGGGCTGCTTTTGTCTGCACACTTTAATTAGAATAATTTATCTTCATGGGTCAGGGCTCACAAAGCCCGGCACTGCAGTGGTAGTTTTCACTGGAAAATGTATTGGAAAGAGGAAACAAAGGATTCATGGTGAGACACATGAGCAGCCCTAGGTCAGTCTTACAGTATATTAATCAGCATTACATCAATTCTACTGCGCATGAATTATTTCACAGGCTTAGTCACACGTTCCCATATGTTTATGTGTATACGAATGTACACAATATAAAATGACATACACTGGAATAGAAGATTTTAATATAACCCACCAGGCGTACAGTCCACTCCAAGCCTGCAAAGCTTCAGCAGTTCACCTGAATGTGGTTCAACTATATGATACAGACCTAACTCACAGACCCTCTGGCTTATCTACAGTTGATTTTACTTTTTAAACACAGTTCACCTTTGTGCAAGTCAGCAATCTCCACATATTTCCACAGGGGCCACACTGGCACGACACAGTCAATAGGAAAGACACTTCTCCTGAGAATTTTTGGTTGTGTGCTCCAACCAAAAACCTGATTTGAAATCAGAGCAGGTTTGGTTGCATATTCAACTCCAAAGAGTCAGATATATTTTCTGTGCTGGTACCTTTTTTGTTCCAACCATCTGCAGTCTGCCCGCTGGTCCTTTCTCTGACGCCGTCGATGCTCAGATTCTTTATTTTCCTCACTGCCTCATTTCTCTTCATCTGCTTTGCACCTTTATTTGATTATAAATCGATCCACTTTTATTGTTGAACCTCATGTCAGCCAGCATATGAGACACAATAAGCAAACTAGTAACACTGCAACCCAAGTGTGCAGTCTCCACTAGCTACAAAAACAGACAGATTTAATCAGCTCTCTGAAGAAAAAACTGTTTATTTGTAGAACATGGGACAGGAGAAGTTCTGTCATGTTTGTCATCTGACAAATGTTTCACTACTGCACTTAAATGAGCAGGATATATTATCTAACTAAAGCTTAAAATTTCAAAGCATGTTATTAAAACCAGAACATTTAGAGAACTGCCTTTGTGATGGTATGTGCTGTGACTTTAAATTGCTTTCTGCCGTTGCCATTTTAAAGTCCGTAGCATACAAACAACATTAATTACAGTAATTATAATAACTTACTATAGAGACAGGCATAGACATTACTATAATCATTGTAAACAGCAAGCTAAATACGCAAGAAAATACAACAAAGAATATGTGTAGTTGCGAGTGTCTTTTAATTCTTTTCTCAGACACAACAGAGCACATAACCCAGAGCACAAGGGGACTAGAGGGCGTATGATGGTGGACGTCCTGTCATGAAGGAGAAATGACTTGATCCAAAGCAACGTTGGGACAGTTTTCACTCAGGAGGAGCAAAGCAGTTTGGTGGAGTTATTCTTTTTGACTTGCAATAACAAATCATACATGCACTTCTTAGTTGCTATATATATAAAAAAAAAACACACTCCATAAATTATTACTGAATTATTATTGTTGTCAGCGGCAGCTTCTCTCACACAAGTGAGCGGCTCTGACATCAGCCAGCAGCCATTTGAGTTCTGACCATGATGTTTTGTGGTGAGTTTATCCTCTTTATCTACAGCACAAACCTCCAGCTCGATGTTAGTGATTTCAGCTCTCGGTAAACTTAGAGGTCTCTGCAACATAAAACACTTTAACATGAATCACAGCTACATCTTGATCAAACACAGTTGTGCAGTTGACACAGCACTGAAAGTGGCAGTAGAAGAAATCACTTATATTGTGAACAAATAGGAATTCTAAATGAATTTAATCTACAACAGGTAATGTATTATTCAGTTACAATGTCATTAAGTTTCAATTTATACAACACTGGCTTACTTAAAGTCCACATCTTTAATTTATTAATATGACATGTAAGAAAGAAGAGTGCTACATGTTCTTTGAATAAGATCCATATGTATATACATATAAAGCTAAATTGCCCTTTATAACACCCCACAATATCAAAGTTCTTTTTGTGAAACCATTACAGTTATGTTTCAGTCCACTGACTACCAGCACACTCTACAAGGCTCGACAGTGGTATGAATGCAGGACGTGAATGTTCGGCTCTCAAAAGCAGTGTTCAGTTTCACCAAAGCAACCAGTTACACCTCCCTGAGACGAAGACCATACTGAAATGAAAGCATCTTAACCAGAGGAAGTATTTCTAAATCTCTAACACTGACCACATACAGAAGACTGTATATGCTGCTTTTCCACAGCAAAGGAAAACTCTTTTCTTCAGTTCGTGGAATAGATGACTTCTTCTGTTCAAACCTAAAGGATTTTTTTTATCTCAACTCTAGTCTCATGTTTGTAGCATTGGGCATCTTTTCTGTCAGTTTTGATAAAAGTGTTCTCACCAAAATAATTGCTGAAATCTGGGAACATGGTGCAATTACTACAACGAACTGGAGCAAGAAACGTGAACAGTCAGATGATCAGACAAGTTGTAAACAAGCCAGCGGTTTAAGAGAGACGACCACTTGATTTGGAGCTAAAAGACAAAGTTAGGACAGCTACAGCAGGTACTTTAAGTCAAAGATGTAAAAAGTCAGTCTGTAAACTGTGATGGATGTTTATAATGGAGAGTTTGGGTTTGGACAGAATCTCAAAGTGGAGCGGTGCTGGGAACAGTGTCTGCTACGGTAACCTTCTGCATGGGTTATGACTGAAACAAATGACTCTGTATGACTTGTTGTCTGAAGATGTCTGAATGAAAACAGCTGTGACAAGTTCAAACCTTGTTCAAACCTCTAATCTCTGCCCACTTTGCAAATTACTGCATAAAGTGGGTATGACTGTCAGATTGTTGGTTTTGGAATGTTGAAAAGATATAGAGATAGGGTGTTTCCAACACTGTTAGACCATGCAACAATCACTTTGGCCAAAGCATACTGACCTCTTCTGGGCTGCATCTCTATTTTTGGTAAGATATCGGTTCTATACCGGAAACAAATTCCTTGTGTGTAACATACTTGGCCAATAAAGGTAATTATCCTTATCCTTATCCTTATCCTTATCCTTATATCTTATATCTGGGCTACTGTGCTTGTCCTGCTGCCACAGTAACTAGGACACATATAAGAAAATGGATGGGTATGCAGATGAAATTTAAGAAACCATTAATTGCTGGCCATAGTTCTCTTCCAAATACTGTCAGCTCATTTAACTTTGTTGATTTGCTTACAGCCTGTCTGCGTGACTACTCATGTTTCTTGCCCCATTGGACTTCACTGTATTTTTGTAGCATCAAGCATAATTTCTGTTAGTTATGATACAACACAAATTGGGAGCATGAGATGTTACTGTGCTGTAGGATCTTAACTTGATGAGTACAGAGTGACTATTAACAGTGTCAAAACTAAGAAAATTAAAGTTGTAATTTGCCATTTAGAAGTTTTTGAAAATTATCTTCTGTCCCTGTGTAGATGCAGACACATCTTATTATTTTCTACTGGTCTCCTTAAAGCGCTATCAGAGCCACAGACGCAAGTCATTTACTGCTCAGTACAGTAACTAGAAGTAATACCACTACAACATATGGTAAGAGTACAACCGGTGTCATTATTGCCATCAACCCCTTAAAGCCATAAGGGGATTTAACGCCACTCTAAGCATGAATGCAATAAAAGCATTACAGTTAAGTCACACTGTGTGTACCATACAAAATCTGAGGGCAAAGAGACTAATTGTCTCATACTCAAAATCCCACAATGCTAAATGATGTATGTCTTTCATTTCAAATAAATATGCTCTGTTTCATTCAAGTAAAAGCAAACAAAAGAAGTTAAAAACAACCCTCATATTCTCAGGTCAAAGTTCCACTTACAGTACTTGGCATCCAGTGGAAAACAGAGTATAATTTAGTCCATGCATTTTTAGAAAGGCTGTATTGGATCCACTTTAATGATCTCAGACTGTCAGTGGATAAGAAAACACTGTACACTGCTGCAGTGGAATGTCATAGGTCAATGATAGAGTGGCCAGCAATGCAGAGAAAAGGTTTAAACTTTACTGACAGATGAGAAAGTTGATACAGTGCCAGAGCATTACAAAAACAACTCCTTGTCAGGGTGGCCAAAACAGACAAAGTGACAGATAGGAGAGAGAGAGAGAGAGAAGGAGAGAAACTGAAATGATGTGAAGGAGAGCAGAAGCAGGGCAGAGGCAGAAAAAGCAGGGCAAGCTGACCACAGCTTGTCTGACATCAATCCAGTAGTTGGTTTTTATCTTCATCCCACGCTCATTGGACACATATCTGATTCTTCAGACTGTTGGAGGAACACAGACAAGAGAGAGCAAAAGGTCAGGCTTATCAGTGACAAACAGCAAGTCTCGTCTTCACAGGCAACTCTGCAGTATGGAAGTTTTTTATGCAACCGATTTCACATCTTATGAACTTTTTTCAAAAATGATATCTTGGATTTGCTCAAAAGTAACTTTGGTCACCCTTCATTTTGACAAAATGACCACAATAAAGTTGTCATCTGAACTGAAGCGAGCACTCACTTTGTGATGTTCTACACTATCAACAGGCGAGGAAGCTAAACAACCTGACAGTTACAGGCTCCTCTTTTCAAAAATGATGATTCAGTAGTGATGTTCAGTCATGTAGTACAGCCTTCAGAGAGTTTTTCAATCTTTAACTCAGTGGAAAAACCTGCCAACGGGAGGATGATTATTTTACTTTCGCTTATTGTGAAAATTGTCATTATCCACAAACCAGGGTTTAAAATGGATGCAAAAGTAGTTTGAATATATTGTTACTGAGGATCATATTATATAGCTTCTCTACCTCAGGGTCCCCCAGGTAACTCTGACGAAGAAGGACGTCTGGACTATTCATTTCAATTCAATTTTATTTGTATAGCGCCAAATCACAACAAAAGTCATCTCAGGACACTTTACAAAGTAAGGTCTAGACCTTACTGTTATCAGTATTATTACATAGGGAAAACCCAACAAATCCCCCTTGAGCAAGCACTTGGTGACAGTGGGGAGGAAAAACTCCCTTTAATGGAAGAAACCTCCGACAGACCCCGGCTCTTGGTGGGCGGCCTTCTGCCTCGACCGGTTGGGGTGAGTGGATAGAGGAGAGACAAAAGAAGAAAAGCAACAAGACACAACAAACAATCAAACACTGATCAGGTCGATGTGGCCGGTGACTGCTCGTCAGAGACGTAGAGGTCCAGGGCCAGGGCAACCTGCAGAAAGGTACAGGGAGAGAGAGAGGACACACTACGGGAGAGAGGAGACACACAGTGGTGGAATATAAAAACTAAATGGAGAGTGGAGGTGGGAAGAGACTCAAGATTCAAGACTCAAGAATCTTTATTGTTATTATGCATAGCACAACGAAATTCTTTCCGGCAGAGGAGAGGAGCTTTGCATCATGGGACGGCTCTCATCTTTAACTAAAGGATGGTACACCAAACCAAACTTACT